TTGTTGTTTGGGCCTCCTCACCACTGAAATCTTGACGGATTTCAGTGGTGACGGATGGTGCCTTGAGGTCCCAAGAAGGAGAGGGCCACCCCCTCTCCTTGTTGTCCTTGAAAAGGACCATTTTTGCCTCTTGAGGGAGCACCTAGCTTAGGCTCTTGTTGACCATGCCTTAGCTATTATTTATGCTTATTTGTCATGAAATAGCATTGTTTTAAGTTGGTTTTGGTACACCATGCTTGCTTAGCATACATGCCTTTGTATGCCATTTTGTTGCCTTAACATGCCTTAGGTTGTTTAAACTATTGTTCTAGCATGTTTTAGGCTTGGCTTTGTGAAGCTTTCATGTTTATTTTGCCATGATTAAGGTCTGTCCTTAGTTTGTGGGTCGACTTTGGCATGTATTGTATAGCCCCTTTGCATTTTTGGCTTGTTGGCCTTGAGGGTGTGAGTGTATAGCATGCATTACTTGCTTTATTTAGTGGGTTGGGACCATTTTCCATGTCATTTCAGTCCACTTAGTATGCTCGTACGCTTGCATTTCATGGTCCCTTTGATGTGTCAAAGGCTTGTGTTGCATTACTCCATGTTTTGGTCATTGTGCATGCTTTTGAATTCAAGTCATTTAGATGTCATCTAAGTAATCTTTTGAGCTTTGTTTTTATGTGCTAAAACTCTGTTTTGGGTCATTGAATTCATGCCATGTTTGGTCTTGTTAAGTGTGGTTCAATACCCCTTTAGCTTACTTTGAATCTTTGGACTTTGCTTGCATACCTTGATTGCATTGTTTGGGTTGGTTTGGCACCATGTTCTTGCATGATTTTTTTAAAGCTTAATTTACATGCTAATTGGTCCATGTTATGCCTCTTTCAAGTGTGCTTGAGAGTTGCCCTTTTGTGCTTAAGTATTAGCCCTTAACATGTGCATGTTGTGTGCGATGTGTTGGCCTCCATGTTTGAGCACTTTGGCCACCTGACTTAGGCTTGTTGAGAATTGCCTAATCATGTTTAAGTCCATCTCTTTGCTTGTTTGCATACTCACCTCGCATGATTGCTTGCATACTTGCATGTACACATTGCATTGCCATGTTGCATCCTTAGCTCGCATGCCTTAGGTTGCATTGCATTGTGCATGCATTGCCTCACCTCTTGAAGTGAGTCATGATAGAGGTAGAAGCCCCTTGGTTTGACTATGTGCATTGCATTACATTTGAAATGAAAAATGCACAACTTGGTCTCTTGGGCTATCACGCATTGAAATGCGCGCTTGATGGTCTGAGAACCAAGGACTATGTCCCTTGAGTTATAAACATGATAAGGGATATGGTCGGTGCATACATTGCTTGAAATGCATTGCCATGCTGTGCCTTGCCCTCTGCTGCTGTCAATTGCAGGTTCTGCAGACATTTTTGGCCGACCGGCAGTGTTCAATGCCGACCGACCATAAATCCATGGCCGATAGCTTCATCAACAGCTGATGATCACATCTTACTGCCGGTGGCCATTCTCCTCAGCCGGTGGTGTCTCCAATGTCCAGGGAAGCAATTTTGAGACTTTGGCAGTTTTCAGAGGGGCAGAGCAGGGAAAACAGAGGCAGCCTACACATGGCAGTGGACTTCCGAGTAAGACCCGAGCACGCGTGCATTGAGCCCTCTTCCCGAGGCCCTTTTCTTGCTTTCTTAAATTAATTAATTTGTTTAATTAATTTAGTTGGTCTGTAATATTTAATTAGCTTGCGTAGTTAATTAATTTGTAATATTTATTTGGTCCCTCCGAGTGAGGGTAAAGATGTAATAAGTGTGCGTGAGTGTGTGTATGTCTTCCAACCTCACGTCTTTCTTCCCTTTTATTTACCTGCTTATGATGGTAGATTATGGCACGTTTAAATTAGCATACCTTATGCTATGCATGCGCGCATCCATACATTTGTCTTGCATGCACCGGGCTCGGCGCATCACGCTAACTGCATTGTACTTCAATTCCAAATTGAATACGTGTTATCGATTGCATTTCACATGCCATTTTAGGATTAGCCGAGCCTATCCTAAGTACATCCTGTATGCGATGCATTAGCCATTTTTAACATGAACTAGGATCACGCATGTTTGCTAACTAGTTTACTGTTTTGGCACAGAGTGCGATGTAAGTGTTTATGCTTTAGCATCTTGCATGAGTGCGAATGTTAACATGACAGTATGCTTGCCATGCGGCTATATGTTTACATGATATTACTGCTTGAATGCCTGTGGGTGAAGGTTGGATTGTCTGAGTTGGAATAGCTCATTGAAATCCGTGTTTCAGCCTACTTGCGAGTAGCAAATTCCAAAACATCTTTCAAAACAAACGGATATGCAATGCTTATTTCCAAATTAGGCGATCTGGTCTATACTTTTGTGCTGCGTGCATAACATAGTAATTCTAAGTTAATAAATGGAATAAGAACACATAACGTTTTCAAAACTAGATATCATGGTTAGTAGAGGCCGATCTTCGGATCGGGCGAGAAGGGGTGCTCATAGCTGACCTTCCCCAATCGTACCCAAGTTTCCGAGCCGAGGTAACTTTGGTGATGACGGACACGTGGCCTTTGGCACCGAGTCAGGGTTTCCTAAATTCCCCCATAAAAAATATTTAGGTGGCGACTCTGTATCTGGCAAAGCAGTCCATGTTTGGCACTTCTTTTCTAAAAATCTGTTTTCCAAAACGATTTGCTAGATTTGGACTCTTTGGTTCAGATTAAGAACCGTGACACAAATCAAGCCCGAACTGTAGCGGGGTCCCTCGCGGACGTGTTACAGTGTCATACATTGTTGTCATGTCTGCAGGCAAATATTATCTTGTTGATTCTGGCTATTCGAACCGGATTGGTTACTTAGCACCATTCAAAGGCCATCGTTACCACCAACAAGAATTCCGACGTATTGCACGGAACGCGATGGCAAACACACCAAGGGAATTATTTAACAAAGTGCACTCGTCCTTATGCAGTGTCGTGGAACGCACTTTCGGTGTCTGGAAAAATCGATGGGGGTTTATTCGAGACATGCCTCGGTATGACTTTGCAAATGTGCAAGTTTAGTTAGTAGGTGCGTCAATGGCATTACATAATTATATACGGCGAAACACAGGTAACCTAACAACTGTTCAGCCAATCTGTGACGAGGAAGAGGCAATGCCAATAGTAAATGCCATACCAGAAGTTGAACATGACGATGATGGTTTAATGGTTGGAGATGAAGACCCCCATATGGCATTGGTCCGCCTTCACATACGCGACAAATTATGTTACATGCGTAATAACGGAATGTTAGGAAATATATAGTAGTCGAAATAATTTTCGTATGGTTGTCACATAATGACACACGTGGAACAGACTGTATTTAAATATATTATCATGTACAATATGTATGAGTTTCCACGAGAATATAACCCCTTCCAGTTGCTGACGTGCCTAACTTTGGAAAACAACAATCCATACGAATTTTGCTTGTGGAAAAACAAAAAAAGGTGAAACAAATAAAAACAAATGAAAAAGAAAACTAATACACAAATTGTCAAAGAAATAAAAAATTAACGCAATATCCGCCTAATCCAAACTCAAAAAAAAAAAAAAACAAATAAAAAATAAAAAATTTGGATTTGCAAAATTTGGCAGATCGAAACCCAACATACAAATATTGTCGACAAAAAAAATTAAGCAAAAAATGCCAAAGCGAAACCCCCCAAAAAAAAAAAAAAGCAAAAAACGCAAAATCGAAACCCAACATGAAAAAATTAAAATAAAAAAAGAAGAATCAAAATATGGCAAATCCAAACCCAAAATTAAAAAAATAAAAATTTTAAAAATTAAGCAAAAGTCGGCAGATCGACACCTAATATACAAAAAAAAAAAAAAAAAAAAAAAACCAAAACCCAACCCCCAAAAAAAAAAAATTTTAAAAAAAAAAGCCCCTGTTTTACAATTATTTAAAATATAAAAATAACCTGTAATGTTGGCAAATGATATAATAATATAAATACATAAATAAAATAACTAATGTTGGCAAGTATAAAAAAATTAAAATTAAAAATAACCAAAATATGCCAAATCCAAACAAACAAAAAAAAAAAACAAAATTTTTCAGCAAAAAGCCAAAATTGTTAAAAAAAAAAAAAAAAAGGAAAATATGCCATATCCAAACCCAAATTAAAAAATAAAAAAAATGGAAAAGGGCAATTTCATAATTTAACAAGATGACACCTCATCAAAAAGTCAAAAAGTCAAAAAAGTTAAAAAATTCTTCTCAAACCAGGCTTTTTAACGCCAAGTTTTTTAACTCCAGGATAAAATAACCAAAAATATTAAAAAACCAACCCACTTCCCAAACAGAGGCAAAATATTATTCATTTAAAAAAAAAATTAAAACCCTACATCCCCACCATGTCCCAGTCACGTGATGACCCTTTACTAAAATCTCTCGCTCAGATTTGTTCCTCTCACACAAGTTAGGGAATCGAGGACTCTATGCACTTTTTTCTCGCTCATTTTTTCTCACACTTCCCATCTCTCTCTCTCTGTAATCATCGAAGGCATTGATCGATTGTTCAAGGTTTGAGCAAAAACATTCTCTTCTCTGCAATCTTTCCACACATCTGATTCATCGTAAGCTTTCTCTGCATCTAACTATGTCTATCTATTATGTCACATATGTAGCTCACAATACTTGGGTATTCAATTCATTTTCTATGTGTGACAATAATAACCCAATTAATTGAATTGAATTTCATTCACAGAATCAATCAAGTCTCATGTTCCACCAATTAACTTGTATTTGTATTTGAAACCGACATAAAACCCTAGCACTGTTCAATAGTTTCAATTGGTGACTTATGGATATTGTTGGACCCATTTACTAGTAAATTTATTTTTTTGGGATAATTGGTTACTTAACACAGATCATGGTTGTGTAACTGTGATGGGTCTATTGCAATTGGTTAACTATTTTTATATTTCTTTATCTGCAGAAGTGTATAAAAAAACAAAAAAAAAAAACAAAAGAAAACCCAATTGGAATTTGGGTTTGAGTTGCTACACTTGGGTTGGTTAGTGGGTGGGGAGTTCGAGATGTCGGTGAGGTTTCATGTTGGTGGGAAAGTGGTGGATATTGTTGATTTGTTGAAAAAGAGACATTGGTCATGGCGCTTAGATGTATGGCCTTTTGCGGTGCTTTATGCTGCTTGGATAGTCACGGTACTACCTAGCTTGGACTTTGTGGATGCTGCAATTGTTCTTGGTGGCCTTGCTGTTCTTCACATTCTGGTGTTCCTCTTTACGGGTTGGTCGGTGGATTTCAGATGCTTTGTCCAATATTCTAAGGTATGTAGTACACTAAAATCTACTGCAAACAATTATATATGTTATTTTTCTAATGTATCATTCTGGAATTTAGTTTTGTTATATTGTTATTCTAAATGCTAACTTTAGTGCCAATAAAGCTTCAACTAGTTTTGTCCCTTCTTTGATAATTTTGTTTTTGAGAAGTTGATGATGGAATGAGAAACAATTATTGGCACTACATGTTAATTGAATCTCATCATGCCCTGAAAAAATGAATTGAATTTTCATTAGAACAACCATGACAAATCAAAACAAACAAAAGGCACAAAAAAAAAAAAAGAAAAAAAAAAGATTTCAAATTAATTTTTTAACTAATTAAAAGTTCAGCAACAATTCATGAGATCCAAACTAGTACTCAATTTATAGGGGGGGAAAAACCTGATTTCTGACTTTGAAGTGGGAAGATTATCTGTAGGAATATGTTTTATTGGCTACATTTAGTAAAATTCTTCGTATTCAGTTAAATTTGTAGTAAGAAAGTAGTGAATTCAGAAAGATAGTATTTCCTGCCAATAGCAACATTTAAATTGCAGTAAAGTTAATTACAAATACTAAATCATGTTTGTGGGTTCAACAAAATTCGCTGGTAGTGGCAATCATTAAAAACATTAGTTTGTAGAATTTGAGGTTGAACGATTCATTTTTGCAAGTTTTTGTGCGTTCTATGTTACTTGGTACGTACATGTTTGAATCTGGTGCCAGCCCAAGAGAAGCAAAAATTGCTATGGATGGTAGTGTATGAGTTCAGTGATAGTGTTACTGGATCAAACCCAAATAGTTCACAATTTGGCATGTAATGTTTAAACTGGCAATATAGAACTTTCGTTAGAAGTAGATGCTTCAGTTTATAGGGTCGAAGGCATTCAACTAAGGCTTACAAGTTATGGTTGAACAATAGCTCATTAATATCATCTTTGGTGTTTTTTTGACAGGTTAAAGATATTCATCAAGCAGATGCATGCAAAATAACTCCGGCTAAATTCTGTGGTTCTAAAGAAGTTGTGCCACTTCATTTTCGGAAGGTTGTCTGTCCAGTTTTGAGTTTATATTCTTAAGTTCTATTTTTTATTTATTATTATTTTTTTTTGTGGATTTTGTAGAGCTTACAACAAAACGAATGTATTTTGAATTTCCATTTTTTGATTGCATGATGCCATTGTAGTAGTTTTCGTCAATTCATTAAAAAAAAAAATCTAATGTATAAAAAGAATTTGTAAATCTGCATAATGTAATGCCTCTGTTATTTCGTCTTTGAAAATGTTGCAAGTGTGTGTGCAGTTATGTCTGTTTGTCTCTAAAGGTCAATAAACTACATTTCACTGATCAAGAAGATTGACAATACATAGCCTTGTTATTGACCAAAAGCAGTTTTTATTTTTTATTAATTGCAAGAGAAGTCTTGGAAGCTTTTTACTTTAGACCAGAGTGTTTCAGTTGTGAAAGTTGATCTCTATCCCTCATCTATGTCTTCTATGCTTCAAGACGAGGTCCCATTCTTCACATTTACCGCTGTTCCCAGACCTTACTCTTTTAACACTTGTATACTTTCTAAATAGTTAGGCGGAGTAAGCTTTAAGATGTAGTTAGTGCCTTGTGGTCAAGATCATTTTGGATTAGATTATTCTTGATAGTTTCAAAACAAAGTAAGCATAGAGCTTGGGGATATCCTTTGGCGACTGAATGAGAGGTTTCAAAAGCTGGAAGGATATATTGTAAATAGTGTTAGAATTTCTTTAGAGATGGCTTAAGCGGAGAGGTTTACTCAATTTTACTTGGCGTTGGCAGGAGGGGTTCACTCTAAAACTGTCTTTTTAGTTTTTTTGGATGGAGCTCAGTCTACTCTTCAATCTCCACCTTTTGTATATCCTCTAGTAAACTCATCCATCAATTGGAACTCCCATAAAAAACTGCCAGGAAAATTTCCAAAGCCTGAAATTCCCTTCATCACCTCACCCTATTTGGATGATTCACTAGTATCCTCAATTCCACTGGCTCTCCCGTTAAGAAGGTTGAGAGCACTGCCACTGACTTGCAGAAAATAGTGGCTGGAACACTCTGGACACTATGGGCATGTTTGATTGGGTGGATTAGAGCATGGGATTTGGATTATTAATCCGTGGGCCCAATTATCCTATGTTTGTTTTAACATTTTGGTTTAGGATTATTAATCCAATTGGATAGTGAATACCACACTAATTTAATAGGATTATTAATACTTCACTATTAGTTTTGTGAATCAACATGACCTATAGGTTTTAGGTGTGGGATTACAGGCCAAAGGGTAGAGGAGTAGGTTGGGAATGATTTGATTAGATAGGGTTAAGTGGTTCAAATCAAGGTAGTTGTAGGGTTATGAACAGTAATCAAAGAATAAGTTTTGTGAGAAAAAAGAAGAGGAAGAGGAAAGCAATTATAAAGATGAGGAAGAGGAAAGCGACCCCCCCAAATTCGGATGGCACCCCTATATGTCATTCTTTCCTTGGATAATTTGAGAGGCAGGTTTTGATGCTCCCCGATGGGCGTTTAATGTGTCTGTGGGTGGAGGAACCATGAATCATTTATCGTTCATTACTTCATTGTTTGTGATAAGGACTTGTGGAGTTCTGATTTTAAGAGCGCATGGGGTTATGGCACCCAGTCTTACTACTCTAGTTGGGTACTTGGAAAGCGGGGCTGATGTGTTCGGTGTGGTATGTTTGTAGCTTATGGAATCTACATACTTTTGAGGAAATATAGACTGCGATATATAGGTCATCTTGTTATTACTTATTAGTTTTGAAATTTGAATTTTGAGAGGGAAGTTTTGTGGATTTTGTTTTTGTTTTTCTTTGGTTGATTTCATTGGGCACTCCAGCTTTGTGGGAAGGGTTTTAGTTTAGTTTTTTTTTTTTGGTATCTGTGAATTTATGTCTCTTTTGATACCCTTGGTGGATTATTTTTTTTATTCATTAAAAAAAAAAAAACTCTTGGTTTGTCCTTATAGATGCTACCTGTCCTTTTATCAAAGACTTAATGAAGCTGTATGCAAATTTTCTGTCTAGACAAACAAAAGTAAGTGTTTGAATATTTTCTCTGTTTTAAAACACATTTGGCTTGCACAGCTGGCAGGTTCTTCATCCTCAGTGGAGGAAGAGATTTATTTTGATTTCAGAAAGCAATGTTTCATCTACTCAAAGGAAAGTGAGACCTTTTGTAAGCTTCCTTACCCTTCCAAGGAAACATTTGGCTACTATCTCAAAAGTACTGGCCATGGTTCTGAAGCAAAAGTCAATGTTGCAACTGAGAAATGGGGACGCAATGTGTGGGTTTCTATTCCTTTTATTGTTACATCTGTATTTTTTGAATATTTGTAATTATTTGAATTTACTGGATACTTATGATTTTGTGAATTTAAACTATTTCCATACTAGAGAATGAAGATTCAAGATGTTAATTTTTTTCCTCCTGAGAAAGTTCTATAGTTGCTTCTTTCAACTGGAATCTGTAATTATCACTATTTAAATGGGTTGCTTGATTTCATGGGCGAATTGCCTTTTACTAAAGCACTGTGCTCTGTTGAAATGCAATATTGCTATTTTTTACTACCACTTTTACTGCATTGAGAAGCATAACACTTAACTGCCCTTTATGCATTCTTGTGGTCAGGCCTTTTTAATCTCGATTTTTTGGTGGGACCAAATATTTATGAATAATTTTAGAGCTTATTTCAAAAGCCACCTGATGTAGGAAGATGATGTACTCATGCTTAGGGATGGCCATTTTAGCCTGACCCGCGGGGCCCGCTCATACTCACCCCGAAAAGGGGGGGATTTTACCCAACCTAACACTTACGCGGGGTGGGGGTGGATTAAATTTTGGTCACCTGCAGCGGGGGGGCGGGTATCGCCTCCCCCTATCCAAACTCAACCCGATATAATTAATAATATATATGTATATATATAATATAATTAGATATAAGAAAGAAATACTAAAAGTCTGTAGTTCTGTTTAAATATAAATAAATAATAATCCTAAAAGT